GGACGGCTAGCGCAGATAGCCCTCATGTAGCTTTGCGCGAAATTCAAAACAAACAAACAAACAAGAACATTTCAGTGAACTTGAATTGCAACTTTCTTCTATAGTTCATGATTTTAAAATAGTGTTGTTAGTCATTCATTATTATTGCTTTTTGTATATTTAAGAGTATAATGTTCTTTTGTTTGTTGAATATTATAGAAAGATCAATGGCACTTGCAGTTAAATCCTAAAGTAATGTATAGCAAGAATTGAATAACAATATAAACAAGTCTGTTTATTATTGAACTTGAGTACTATGTATTACAGTAGTTAAGTTCAATGACAACAGACTCGTTAATATTGTTTACAATATAAACAATATATTGTTTACAATATAAACAAGTCTGTTTATTATTGAACTTGAGTACTATGTATTACAGTAGTTAAGTTAAATGACACCAGACTCGTTAATATTGTTATTCACATTCTTCAGCTGCTTCCTTAGATGGTGGTTTTCTATCATGTATGTGTTCAACTACTTTTTTTAGTGTAGAACTATTTGCTTTGTAAAAATGCTATATTTCATAATTCAGTATCTTCCTTTGTTACAAGATAGCTAGGGGCCAATCTAACTCAAGCCAAGTATCTGTCTTATTACTGGTTGGTATCAAAGCTACATGTATAGATTTTCTCCTCGGTGATGCTCATATTCCTTCACTACTCTGATGTATCTCTTCTACTACACAGTGGCCTTAACTAACTGTTAACATAAATGGCTAGTCTATCAATCACCCAGTGTATTATTGTGGGAAGTGTTCATAATTGTGGTGCTGAGTGGCAAGGCATGCATCATCATATCAATCAGCATGTTGACTTCTCTACCTTAACATCATCTGATGGCCAGCTGTCATCCTGTTATTCCACTATGAATTGATAAACTTGGATAATGTGCTCTTTGACCTTTTAATTCTTTCAAGTCAAATTGTGAAGGAAACAGTGATGTTTTAATCTTGACTAATGTGAGTGCTCAGCACAATTTGGTAAACAATGGTGAATAAAAATTTGTCCTTTGATCTGTATGAATCACTATTGGCATGCTCAACTAAATTTTCATTAAAGCACTGCCTGGAAGGTCATAGGCCTTTGGCAAAGCAGCAGGCAACAACCTTGCTCCATTTCAGGGATGTTTCTATCTACTTGATTGCTCAAAATATATATATTCTTCTTTATACTATTTGTGTATTGAAAAGTATTAAGAAGAAAAATAACCTTACCTAAGTATACCATCTGATAAAATGGATGTGATTACGACACTTATTGAGTTATGGTGGTCTCTAGCTTTTGATTGAGATTCAGAAAACACAAAATACTTTTGAACTGCCATCCTACCACTTGTGTTTCTACAACAGGCAGTTGCCATTCATTCAACTTAGTTTCATCATAAACTTTAAATGAGTGTCAGAGTTGAAATAAAATGCAACAGCGAGTGTGATTTTGTGTGTGGATGAATTTATACAGTTAGAGATAAATTCACGTGAATTTGGAAACAGAATGAACTGATGAGGGTACAAAAGACTGAAAAGTGAGGCAGGTGGGATTCCTTAAGTGCATATGGTGGTATATGTTTCATAACATCAAAATATATGATATTACACAGGAAGTTTGTGCAATAACTAAACAATAAGCAACCAAATAAAGCACCACCAATATAAAAGTAAACTATAACTGGTATTACAAATGGAACTTCAAGAAAGGGACCTTCTTGGCTTCATTTTAAACTTCATGACACAACATCATGTTATCTTTCACTTGTACCATGACACCTTGTGCTAGATAATTTGATGTCCTCCTAGCCATGTCTGGAGCACTAGCTTTTATACTTCTTTCCATGGGGTTTGTGGTAGTGTCAAATGTTATTCACTATCATCTTTATTTACTAACTTGAGTGGGTGTCGGTACAGAACTTCTTCTACAGTGAAGGTTTCGTGTTGGATTCAGTAAGTGTAGGACACAAGTCACCAGGCTTATAATCTTTGTTACAGTAACTCTGGTTAGTTTCATCCTGAATACACAACCCATTCTTTCACTATTTTCTGCTTCACACAGGGAGCTTTTGTTTTTTTATGTTTATGTCACACATTATTCATGAAAATAGTTTTGCCGGATAATGATAATGACTTTTATGTTATGGGTCTGGATACATTTTGAAAAGAAATTTCTTTATACAATGTTATAACAATTTTTCCATTTTTATACAAGTCAAAAATTGAATTTCTAAGTACAGGTGATCTATTATGGACTACTCACTAGATGAACTATTTCCCAAAGCAGTAATGCTGTTTTTCACAAAAATGACTGCTGCCAGAAGTTCTTAATATTAATTTTAAGTGAAAAAAGCTAATCAATGAAAAATGACTGGGAGTGGGACCTGAACCCAGGACCTTGCATAACAGGGCCAGTGCTTTACCACTGAACTATCCAAGTGCACATTCCACCCCTGTCAATCTTCACTTATAAGGCTTTTTTACTTTATCTTCATATTTCATATCCCAGACTTATTTATTTTTAATTTCCAATAGGAAACAATGAAAGGACAATATTTAACACTAAATTTTATGTAAAAAATTACACTAGAGCTTGAAACTGATTCTTTTTTTTTTGCTTAAAATTTAATGTTAAATACTGTCCTTTCATATTGTTTCCAATCAGAAGTTCTTAGTAGTAAAATAGTTACATTGAAAGTGATTTAAAATTTTGACTTGTGACATGACTCTCTTACTGCTATCTTCTGTGCCCAGCAAAAACTCTGTTTATAGTTTAAAGTACACTGGGACTAGAGTCTTCATTATGAGTTTGAGGTTTTTTGACAACTTTTTCACATTTATGTTCTTAAAAAAACTAGCCATGTACTAGTTTATTTTTTATTAGAAGTAACTGAGGCATTTCTTGGTACTTAAAAGACTCAGCCCCAAAGGTGCAGGAATCTTCAGTGTTTCAGTATGATATAGATCATAGTTCTCTATTTTCAAAACACCAACTGGAGATTCAGGGCACTGTCAAATATAATCAGAGCACGTGCCCTGTGTGCCAGTTCTTCTGAGGAGTATCATCATGATGGCAAGTACTGGAAGAAAATACCAATAACAAGACAGAATATACAATTAAGAATTTTCCATGGCTTTTTTCCCCATCCTCTCACTATATGCTAGCACACTTTTTCCCATATCAGTGAGTATTTGGTACATTTAAGTCACAGATTTGTTTTCTAAACATTTTTTCTTTTAGGACTTAATAATCAAGCTTTTTTCAGTCACTGAAAATTACAAAAATTTGTAGAAAATGAATGAAAGGTATTTTAAATTCATAGAGCCACATGACTGTTCCAAATGTGGTTTTGTGCTGAATCTTCACATCTACTCTTATTTACTGTAACCAGCTGCCAAATCCAGAGTACCTGTCAGTGATATGAAAGTCATCTATTTGTGGTAAGGGAGAAGTAGTTTTTCACATGTTATAAAAATCAATGAAATGATGCATCCTTTTTTTATTGTAAACATGCAAGAAGACCAGAAAATTTTAGATTGTTGAATGATCCCATTAGACAATAATCGATCAATCTTCTGCTCAACTACATCTATGACTGCTTAATGGGTTTGATGTTCCCAGTATTAACACCCAGTGTTTTCTCATGTTTGTGGTCTAATGTGCTGACCTTAACTACAGACACATCCTGATGTTTCTCTCATCACACGAGTGTTTTTCCTGTATTAATATTTTACGATTGTTTGGAAGAGTACTCAAAATATGTCTCTTCTGGGCTGTTCCTGGAGCTTGTACTCACATATAAAAGTCTTAATTTTTCAAAGTTAGAAAACTCACTATTACCATGGTAGCCAATAATTTCTAGGTAATGAATGTTGTATTAAAAAGCATAACGTCTAATGTCATGTTATACCTTTTCAAAAGTATGCAAAACATATTTTAATAACAGCAACTACAGTAATAATGCACAAAATATTAGACGATAACAAAATGTAAAAACCCTGATTAGTTTCAACAGGCCAAATTTGTCATATTCAAGGTAACGATATTGAAACTAGTCAGGTGTTTTATGTTTTGTTAATTCTTTAATCATTCATGTATTTTTTATCAATTTAACCCTTTGGATGCTATAATCAGATTTATTCAACATGACATTTATAGTTGTTTGGTGTGACAAGCAGATTTACCCCACATTGTCACAAACACAATACTTGTACATCCTTGAATTTCCCATCTTAGTACCATGTGTGTGAACATCACCGAGCAAAAAGTGCAACTAGTGGATTTTGATATTGAAAAAAAGTACAAAAATAGGTCTAATTCTAAATTGCATTTTTCAGTGGCTAAATGATACTTTTTGAGAACCCACCCGAAATATAATTATGCATTCAATGGGTTAAATAAAAACTACTTTATACTGGTTCATGAGAAAAAATTGGGAATTGCTTTTGAAGCTTTGCTGATGATTTTTATGAACATTAATATTTTTTCATGGAATTCATCTTGTTTAAAAGAATATGATGGTTCAGTTTTGTAGCCTATCAAGTTGTACAAACTGTAAGCTATATGAACTAAAACTTTAGTACAATAAAACCAACCAAAGTTCCTTTTTAAAAAACACTAGGAAAAAGGTTTTTTAGAAAGCAAAATGCTGTTTATATTTTTTAGTTTACTTTTTATTCACAAAAAAAAAGACAAGCTTAAAATTTAAAAGGTATATTTGGCCAAAGTTTTGGTTGCTTTAAGTCACAGAACTTATCAAAGGTTAACTGCAAGGAAGTTTCCATCCCATAAATAGTTTGTGCTGCTTTTCCATAAAGTTCTGTCATTTCCTCAATTCTTTTGCTGTTGGGCTGAAGAGCAGGTGGAAGTGTGCTCCGTTGAAGAGGACCAGCCACTGACACTATGAAAACATGAAGGAAATCAACACTGTAAAAGAAGTTTAACTTCTGTTTGTGTATTACATATGATGTATTTTAGACATGTATAACATATCTGTGTGTAAATACATTAAATCCCAGGCATTATATTATTTGTGATTATTTAAATTACTATATACAGGTAAGCAAGCTATTTTAATTATAAATCTTTCATGTAATTTATGGCATCGTGTTTACCTGCAAATTGAATTGAGATGTATCTTTAAGCCTCATTGTTGATTACAACAATTCCTCAGGTTTAAGGACTGAATATCTATATTTAAAAAAAAGATGAAAAACAACTTGAGAGAAATGTTTCTTTTATTTTACCCAACATTTTGGCTTACTCTTTTTTTTTCAAGGGTTGAGTGTGAAAGGTTACAAAATTTATTTCAAATGGTAGACTACTGGAGCATCTTGAAGCATGGTAAAAGTATTGTTAAACAAGTTAGAGTTGCTTATCATAATATAAAACTAAGTAATTAAATAAAAATAAACCTTACATGGAATAATAGCTGTTACTAGAAGGTCCTTTAGATTGAATCAAACGAGATTATTTAAATTTCCTGTCAATAAAGTTAACAATTCTGTAAATTTTTGATATAATATCCACCGGCAGTTTTTTTTATTATCAAGATTAGCTGTGACAAGTATGTTCTTTGAAACAATTACGTACTGGATGCCTATAACGAGACACCATATGATATCAAAATTTTAGGAAATTATGATAACTTTGACAGGATATTTAAGTAATTTCTTCAACCTAATTGCTCTTCTATTAACAGATACCATGCCTGTCCCCTATAAAACAATTATTATTCCATGTATGGTTTATTTTATTTTAATTACTTACATTTATCATTGTGATAAGTGACTAAAATTATTTAAAAATACTTTTAGGACACTTCACCATGCACTTTTATAGTGATATATATTTTTTTGGGTTACTTTCATCTGGAATCAGTTTTTTTGTAATTTGAGATGCTCAGAGACCCCTGATAAAGGAGTATGCTAAAATTTTGGGTAATATAAAATAAAATTTCATCTTTCTCAAATGCAGTTCCATCCTTCAATCGGAACTGAAAAATTTAAAATATCAAATACTGTATATGAATGTCTTAAATGCTCTTCATATTACATAGATCCATCAACATGCAAGTTTCAAATCTATTAAACAACCATGCAACGAATGAACCTATAAGTAAAAAGCAATTTAAAATCCATACAAAGGTACATAATGAACAGAAAATGGACACAAAAGAAACTACTGATAAGTAGACTTCGTTCAAATTGAATGAATGGGACAGCGAGTCAGTCAGCTTATCAATAATTCTGTAAATGCTTGTGTTAAACACATTAGAAAAAAAAAAAAAAGGGTTTGTAAATGCAGTATACGTCAAGAAAACAAAACTGGATATATTCAATATTACACAAATTAAAATGTAACAAGAAAAAACTGAATGTAGCCTAGTTTGATGTCACTCCTCTACCTTTATATTACATGTGTTTCTAAATTCTTAAAATATGTTACTAATATAATGTTTTACTGGTCATTAATATTATACTTGAAAAACTAAAGATCAATAAAACTATTTACCATCTTGTGACTTAGGAGTCAAAAGAGCAAAATCAAAATATCAGATCTGTTACTGAACTTCTAACTTTGAAGTAAAAGGTCAGAAGATGATGAACAAATTTGTATACACACTTTCTTCTTGCATTTTATACATCAAAATTCATAATACAACTAAACAAATTTGTCAGTGCAAGTTCCAAAACAGTAAAACTGGATTAAATGCTTTTTTTTTTTTAATTTTCCTTCTTGCAAACTTGAGTGAATACAAAAAAAAGTCAATAAATTTCCATGGGTGCAATAATAAATGTTATACAGAAGAAAAAATTCTACACAGTGCCATTAATCAATTAAAATAAAAAGTATTTTATGTTTTTATAATAAACCCTTACCTTTTGTTTTTCTTATAAATCTAAATTTATGGAAAAAGTGTAAGGTGCAATTTTTACCAAAATATACAAAAATACTTACAATTTTCTAGGTTCACGCAGTACTCTTCTTCCATGCCCTGCCTATCTTTTTTCAATGCTGTATAAAGAAAGTGAGTTTTACATAGAGAAACCTGAAAATATATAGAAGTAATTAAAAATGTTAACAACTAATACATATATTTATAAAGTATATTTACATTGATATTAGATAGGCACGCTAACAATATGTATAGGCTTTAGATATTTCTTTAGAACACCTGCAGCTCTTATAATATAAACTTGTTACAGAATCCATTTTTCACTGTTTAGAAGTTAAAATTCTCATAAGAAGGATATTTTGGTATTGTTGTCTAAAATAAATGAAAGTGCAAAAGATATGACTGTATAAGTAATGACTTTAAAAAAAGATTAAAAACATGCATCCTGATTACTTGTGCTATGATGTTTCTTGAAATAAGATAATAAATCACTATTTAATTTTTAAAATAATGTTTATTTTTAACTGCTTTTATTTTCATATTAATCGCATTACTAGAAATAAAGATACAAGCTTTCACATCACTGGATTATAACCTTAGTGCACTAATCATTTTTAGAATATATTAATTTTATTGGCTGATTACAAAATGTTTGAGTAACTGTTTAGTTATAAGATATAACACTTAAGGCCCCAAAGATTGTTGTAAACACTCTTATAAACATGTAAAATAATACTGAATTGTCCAGAAAATTGTACACTATGACATTGCAACAGGTGATTGATAAGTGAAAAAATCATTTATTATTGTGTTTTTTTCTTTTTAGATATACTATGGTTTTATTGATTTGCAATGTTTGTAAATATGAAGTTTTTTTTATCTTCATCAAATGAAATAAAATCACCTTCAAATCAGATGTACTTAGCTAAACTTACTGTTTAGTGAATATGGTGGATGACTACAATATAATCTGATGATTCAATCTTTATTGAATATTCTTTTGTATCTTTATTCTTTCAAAGAACACGCATATATATATATATATATATAAATATATGAACAAATTGGCTTGCTAACTACTGAATTACTACTAATTGCAATCATAATATGTTTTAAATAGAAACAATATTTCCCTTATTTGTGATAGTAAAACATTTTTAATACTTAATTATCAATGTGTTTGATTCACAGAAGATCATAATAAGCTTACTGCATATTTTAAAAACAAACATAATAACGACTGCATGGTGGTATTTAGTCGAAATATTTTTAGGCAAAAGCCCAAGTGTCAACCTCAGAACAGGATATCATATGACACCAAGAGAAATTCAATAATTAGTTTAGAAAACAATAATGTGAATAAAAGTAGGAAGGTTAATACTATGTTAGAATAATGTAGTGACTGAAAAAGTTATGAAGCTAGCACCCTCCCCTTTGTTTGCTTTTATGCGAGAGGTGTGTGTGTGTGTGTGTGTGTTATAGCAGAACCACATCAGGCTATCTGCTGTGTCCACCGAGGGGAATCTAACCACTGGTTTTATTGCTGTTAATCTACAAACTTACTGCTGTTCCACCAGGGGGGACTTTATTGGAGGAGACGTATACCAACCAACTGATGATCATTTTGATTAATCAATTATCAGATACTGTTAATCTCTCCAGTTCTATTTAGTGCTCATAAATATTCAACATACTTCACAAAATGTCATAAAATAGAAACAAAAATACAGTTTTAAAATTAGTGTCCATTAACAAAAGTTCTGTGTTGCTTAATTTCATATCTTCAAAAAACTAGTAATATATTGTACCAATTAGTATACTATTCTTTGGGGGGGGGGGGCATAAAAACATAAACCAAGAATAGTTAACATGTTATAATTTAATCATACACTTGTAACTTTCCTCAACCTTGATTGTTAAACAATTTTGAGTAAAATAATCTAATATTAAGTTTTCTCACCAAGTTCTGCTTTATGTCTGGCAGAATGTTCAAAGAAAGCCATCATGTCTTCAGTGATCTCCATCTCTAACTCATCTTCACTTGAATTGTCTGTTGAGTTTCCATGTTTTTCTAAGAGATCTTTCATAAGAAGTGTCTGAGAATCTTCTGAATCACTAGAAGCACTACATGAATTCACGCAAGTTCCATACTTGCTTGGGTAATTATAATTAATTGGAGATGATCTAACACAACAACACTTAGTTTCTTGGTGTTTAAGTTCACACTTATTCTTAAACTCATCAAAGTGCTTACTATCTTTGAATGAACAACTGCATAGATTATGTTTTCTTGGAATTGGGTAAAAGTTCATAGTTATCATTTTGTTGTAACAACACCAACTAACCATTTGATCATAAGAAGTCCAGTATCGGCAATAAAGATGATGATAATTCCTGATAGATGGGCTATTAAAGCTGGTCATTTTGCTAGTTGTTAAGTAGTGGTGACCTCTGATCTGAAAACAGAAAATTAATTTTATTTTCTTTACTATAATTATGACTAGGTCTTGAGTACTTTAGTTCTAATTTTATAAAATTTGAAAGAATGTGGTTGTATTCATATCAATAACACGCTTGAAAGAGAACTGCATTATACAATGTATTTCAAGACTGTACGAGAGAAATACAAGCTGTTCAAAAATCTGAGTTACATGCATATAAAGTATTTATCTACGTATAGATGTATCACTGTAGTATTGATTCTGAAGATCAACAAATTTAATTGCACATCTGTAAAACAATATTTCATAATGTGATAACAATACTATTGTATCTTCATAACAGAATAATGTAATTTTGGTATCTGAATCATCCGCAGAGATTAGCAAATTTTATAAACATATGATCTCAAGTTCTACAGACATTTGTATTGAATGATTTGTAGCTTATGTGAAATACTGTCTAGTGTTACAGTATAATTTCATAATCTATACGTTATTTCTGGTCAATACAAACATAAGAAAAAGCAAGCCCACAGAAAGGCATTTAGCCAGCATCATAACAAAGTACAAAAATGGACTTTTCTAGTCCATCTAGGCTGTTCTGTCCACTAAATTAAACAACCACCTCAAAGCTAGCCATTATCATTCAAGTATTTATCAAGCTTTCCCTTAAACTCCCTTGTATTAACTGCATCCACCACATGTGAAGGCAACCCATTCCATATGCCAACCACCCTGTTAGAAAAATAAAGCTGTCTTAGTTAAAGATGACTTTTTCCCTGCCAAAATCTATAATTGTGTTTACCAGACTTGCCATTCTCACCATTAAATATGAAAAAAGATGATGTATCAACACTATCAATTCCCTTAACAGCCTTAAACACCTCAATCACATCCCCTCTAACTCTTCTTTTTTCAAAAGAAAAAGAGTTTAAAGATATTAACCTATCACATTTCTATCCAGGTATCATCCTAGCAGCTCTCCTCTGAACCCTTTCTAACAATCAAATGTCCTTTCTGAGGTAAGGAGCTGAACACAATACTCTAAATGTGGCCTAACCAATGACCTATATGGTGACTTTATATTCTCTTTAGACTTATATGTATTCAATATTTCTGTAGATAAAACCTAAAATTCTATTTTCCCTGCCACTATCAAAATTACATTGCTTGGATAACTTTTGAGACTGATGAACCAAGACCTTTTTCTTCTATAACATTGTTAAGGCTATTCACATCAAAATTATACTCATAACTTAAATCATGACACCCCATATGCATATCCTTGAACTTTATTATTATTAAAGGCCATCTGCTATTTATCTGCCCAACTCACCAAATTATTTTGTAATGCAGTGAAGCATCCTCCTCAAAGCCAGCAACACCCAAAACTTTAATATCATCAGCAAATTTAAATAATCTATTGACTATTCCTTCATCTATGTCATTGATGTAAAGCAAAAGTCCTAACACTGAGCCTTGAGGTACCCTACTCATGACATTATTCAATTTGGTTGAACTCATTTTATAGCAACTTTTTGCTTTCTTCCATCTGGTCAGTTTTCTATCCAATAAGCCAACCTATCTACCACACCTAAAGAGATAACTTTTTAACAAGCCTTTTATGAAACATCATGTCAAATGCATTTTGATAATCCAGATACGCTACATCTACATATGTACCTTTATCAACATAAGCAGCAACATGTTCAACGATTGTCAAAAGGTTGGTAAGGCAAGGTTTTCTTCTAGTAAAACCACGCTGACTATTCAACAAAATTTTAAACTTTGTTATCTGACTTTGCACAATATTTTTTTTTATATCAAACTTTCAAAAACTTTTCCCACCAATAGTGTAAAACTAGTAGGTCTATAATTACTGGGACAATTTTTATTACCTCCTTTAAAAAGGAGTAACATTAGCCAACTTCCAACCTTCTGGCACCTGCCCACTATTCAAGAAGTTAGAAAAAATAATAGCAAGTAGCTCACATATTCAATCCCTTAACTCCTTTTAAAACCCTTGAGTAAATATTATCTGGTCCAGGTACTTTATCATTCTTTAAACTTCCCAATTTTTTTTAACAATCTCAGGTTTAATGTGATCATCTTGTTCAACATTTTTTTCCATTTAAGAACTTTTCAGTTGAGGAATATTGCATAAATTTACTTCAGTAAAAACCGAAGAAAGTAGAATTTAATAACCCTTCCATTTCATAATCATCAGATATTAGCTTTTTGGTATTATCCCTCAAAGGCCCTACTCCCACCCTAAAATTTTGTTTACCCTGTATTTGAAGAAATCCTTAATTATTTTTTTTACATTTTCAGCCAATCTTTTTTTCTTTCCTAATTTCCCATTTGACCAACTATCTCGATCTTCTAGTCCTCCAAATCTACCATAACTGCAGTGAATTTAAACTTCTTATATTGAGAATGCTTTTCTTTAATTTTATCTTTTATGAGCCAACCTGTTTTACTTATAATCACCCTTTTTTTTGTCCATAAGGGACATGCCTACCTTGAATTTTTGTGAATTTATTTTAAATTTTTTTCCACATTTGATTAGCATCTCCAACTAATTCAGTTGCTTAATTCATTGCATATAATTCTTGTCTCATCTCTTCAGAACTTGGAACCCAAATCTCATTGTTCCTCATCTCTATAGGCAGCAAAACATCAAATCTAATTGAGCAATGATCACTTGCACACCCAGATATTCCCCAATATCCACCCTATCGACCATTTCTTTATTAGATGTTAACAATAAATCTAAAATAGCATTATTCCTAGTACGTTCCCTAACCAATTGTTGAAGAAAACCATACTGAAGAGTTTCCAAAAACCTGTCTACCTCATGAGTTGACTCTAACATTTCCCAATTTATATACCTGAAATTAATATTTTCCATAATTACAACCTCATTGACAGTTGAATTATCTCATTATAGTTTCTCTTTAATTTCATCAGGTTAATCTGGTAGTCTATAACACATTCCAACTAAATTCCTTCTCCCCTAATAACCAATAACTGAAACCAATTAGATTCAACTTGTTTGCTATTAATTTTGGTACCTTCAAATTGAAGAGACTGTAACACACATTTTATATATAAAGCCCCTCCTCTCTTTAGTGCTCTATCTCTAGTAAACAACCTATAACCCTGTATTTCAGAGAAATTCTTTTCATCATAAACTTCTACATCAGCCAGGTTTCAGTTATTCCCATTATATCAAAATCCTCTGTTCTGACCAGTGCTCTAAGGTCATCTATTTTATTTCTTATATTTCTAGAATTACAATAATAACAGTTAAGCCAGTCCCCACCCTATTTAAATGTAAACTATCTATTCCACAAAGCTCCCTTTTCCCATTGAAATGATCCCATAAATCCAACCAGCTCTTCCAAGCATATTAACCTAAACCTAGTATTCAACCCATGTGATCTACTTATAATCTAATACCCACAGTTACCTTTTGGCAGTATCTGACAGAAGTAAATTACAGTCCCTTTTTGTAAATGCCTTTATGAACCCCTTGTAGATAACAATTAGCTTCTATGATCTCCCTTCCCTACCTCATTAGCCCCTATGTGCACTACATAATACCTTTTATTATATCACTTGCTCTATCAGTTATATCCTACACCCCTACCCCTGGATAGCATAATATAACTCTTTTCTTGCTATTTACCCCACAGTCTATCTTATCCATGTACTGTACTAAAGAATCTCCTATAATAATAATAATAAAATTCTTATGTTTTTCATTTTCATCCCTATCTGTCTCTTTTGTTATTCTTTCTGCAAATTCATCAGCTACACAAGCCAAAGGCTGAAATCTGTTCTTTGCCAGTCTGCTCTTTATATTTAAATCTATAACCACTAGCCCTATTATCATCACCAGCCCCTGTACCCTTCACATGAAAAAGCTTAATTTCCTTTAAATTCTGCTCCCACAGTTTTTGCTTCTCATTTTCCATATTTAAAACAGCTTCCAATTTCTCCTTTAACCTATAAACTCTACATACAAATTGTACAACTTTACTGCTAACTTCCTTAAATGTGCATGCACATCAGCCCCAAATTCCCAAATAAAACCCACTTTTTGCACCTTTCAGTTAAACAACAAAAAAAAGCAATAATAATAATGATAGTCCAAATATAGTTCACATATACAAACCTATCAATAAAATTTCCAAAGAATAAAAACTAACATTACATGTTTACAATGAAGTGAATAACTAAAACAATTTTATGTCAAGTTTGTATTTTTAGTTTCCATTCACTACACGAACATACCATCCATATGCTGTGGAAAGATTATCCAAACCTTTTACAAACTGTAAACAAAATGTATCAACATGCTACATCTCTCTTCATTACATTAATAACTTAAGTCCAGTATCATTATAGTACCCCATCTTTGCACTCTTTCCAAGGTGTTGCTATATATCTTGTAGTGCTGGAACCAAAATGCATACATTCTTCCAAGGGAAGCCTTACCAGTCTCGTATAAAAGTACAATACTGTTCTTGTTCTTAAATTTGAAAAATTCTTATATATAGGATAAAAAAAAAACCTACTTCCTCTTTTCATCACAGCTAAATATTTAGCACAGAGTTTTATCAACTATGAAACAACTACATAACTTAAGTTCCCAAGTTTTTAAGAGACTTTTGAAAACTAACAAATAATGCAACCATTAGGGTTTTGCAAAAATTAATAAAATGTCTAAATCTTGTCAGACTAGGAGCTTTACTCTAAAGATCATGTTTCTCAATCTTTTCTAAAACTAATACTTCTTCAAACAATTATAATTTAAGGACAAGTCCTCCTTTAGAAAGATTAGTCAACTTAAAAAATCTCTTATTCTCTTCCATAACATTGTTAAAAACACTAGAAAAAAATATGTCAGTACTTTGGCCATATTCCCTTCACCCATAATTAAATTCCCTGGAAAAATTATTGAGGGGCCAATATTTTCCACAATCTTCATTTTTTATTTTACAGTTAATATAATCATAAAGATTTTTGTTGTTAAATTTGATGTTTTGAACCAAATAACTGTCATAATATACCTTAGCCTTAACTATTGCTTTCCTGACTAATAAACAGCATTTTACTAGACTAGTAAGTTTCCCGTAGTTGTACATATAACTGTTCAATTATTATTATTAATCAATCTATTCAATGATTTAGTAAGAATAGACATTTTTGATGATAATACATTCTTTTTGGGAAGCTTAATTTAATTACAATAAAAAAAGTTATCCATTAGCATTATTCATATTTAAATGAGCTACATATTTTTTTTTTCTTTTTCAAACATCTTAATAGTTTATAGAAGTCAGCTTTTTGAGGATTGGGGCTACAGCTTATTATCTTTAACTAGTTTCAAAAGAGACATAAAGGATAGCTATATTAAACGTACTCATACTCAAGTATTGTTGCATAACTATACTTCTAAGTATAACCTCCTCAGTATTAAAACCGAGGTCTAAAATAGCATATTTCCTTATAATTTACATATGTAGCATTATTCACACACTATGCAATAAAATATCTCTTCCCAGAAAAAGAAAGAAATTAAAATAGATTAATTTACATGTATTAAATTCAATGTCTCTCAATTGTTATCTATAAAAACATATCTCTCCCTCTATATTTACTAACACAGTCCCTTTTTAAATAACATCATATTGAAAATTTTTACTTACAAAATACTTAGTAATACCAAGGAAATGTAAAATGTTAACAATGATAACAGCCACTAAAATAGTAAATTCAAAACTTATTGCACAGACTTCTTGAAGTTCTTCTAATGTTATAGTATGAAAAAACTTAAATTTATATTCAAGTTATCTATCATTATTGCTAATCTGTTTCTATCACCTGGTTCACATCTACTCTAGAACTAGAAGTACTGATATCTTAATTTACTTTTTTGTGTGCTATGTTACATGTTTGTATTTTAACAGCTACCAGTGGTAACTGGTAACAATTAACAAGTGATGCAATCCCTTCTCTGTTATAAACGTATACTTCAAAACTTATATATATAAATCAACACTACAATCTATACAAATTACTTTATTTAAAATATTTTACAATGCTACTTGTTAATGATAGTGTTATTCTTTCTTCAGAAAAAAAATTATGAAACACCACATAACTGTCCTAACACTAACATTGTAATTTCTTGTTTCTATTCACTTTAACTATTTAATAAACCTGTCAAAACTAGTCGTTTATCAACTTGTTTTAGCTACACAGTAAAGGTTTGTGCTACGTACAATTTGTCCTGTAGCCTCGCATACTATTGTTACTGGTAGTGGTACTAACCGTGATTATACAGCAGTACTAGCGTAGGACCAATGTTGAAAATAAAATAGTCTAGTAATACTTCACTTGTCCGTTTCTGATGTGTACTTACCTCACATATCCTCAAGTTTTCGTATTTCAATGTCACAATAATTTAAAAGTTTTAAATAATGCTTCAACAACTACCCTAAACTGTTTGAACTTACAAGAATCCTTAACTTATACTTTTATCTTTCGACGCTCTTATTGATACCGATGGAGAATGTACAGAGTGTCCTCTGACGGTTTCGATAAATTAGATGCATAATAATATATTAGATTAATTGCCATAGAAGTCGTATAACATAAAAGCGTGTTATTGGAAAGTAATGTGTGATTTTAATAAAATTTCCATATTAATCTTAATATATGTTAATACCAACCCAAAAATTATCTCCAATCTCTTGCTCCTATCTTCCACGGGCTTATAAACGAAATATAATAAATTCGATGACGAGGAACCCACTTTGAGACTAATAATGGCTGGAGACGGCTTAAATGGGTAATGAAGAAAAACTTTAATTGTACCTGATGATGACAAAACCTTGTCGAAACGTTGTACATTTGCTGTCATGTTAAACTTATATTAAAGTTTTTCTTCATTACCCATTTAAGCCGTCTCCAGAAATATAATAAAGATACTTTTACAATACACTATCAATGGAAAACAAACATTAATACCTGTAGGACTATCAGTTTGTGGTTTGTGAATTTCACAACCCCTTTTCTATGATTAAGTCAATTTAATAACATTAACATTGATTTTAAAAAATCATTCGGCATGTTTACAGTTTATGTATATAATTGTAATCATAGAATATTCATGACGAGCTAGTACGTTATTTCTTTATTCAGTTTTAGCTGCTTTCAGGTAAAAACGTGGTTGATATTATTCAAGTTTGGAACCAGATAACATTCACTGTGTCTATCTTCACATATCTCCAAATAGCCATACTAAGTTATTTCGACACCCTGGTGCAACGCAACTTTAACTGAAGTTACATGTTTTGTTAGGCAGTTACTGAGTTAATTTATACATTATAAATGTTTTCAGTAGTTAATTTACAATAATATATGAATACCTCAAATTGAATAATATGTTTTAAGTGCTGTAAAGGTTAATTATAATTCAAGCAGCCAGTTTTAAAATTCCAGGTTCTAGAAGTTGAAATTTTCAACCTGAACGGTGTGGTACTTTGAGGTACTCTAATTATCCCTTTAGGGTAATCAGGTGGTTTCCGTAGAATGACAGAAGGTTCGAAAACATAATTTGCAGGAATAATTATAAATCCTCTTACTTTCACTGGGTTTGAAGAATCAAAGAGACTGGATATAATATGTAGCAAAATGAAATTAATTTTATTCATAAGACAAAATACAATCAAAGTTAATGAATAAATATTTGTGTACGGGAGATGGCACTTTTTCTGGAGATTTCAGAGCTCTCAATGACTATATAAATCTAAGAATATTTGTGAACGTGCCCCGCATGGCCAGGTAGTTAGGGCGCTCGACTCGTAATCTGAGGGTCGCGGGTTCGAATCCCCGTCACACATGCCAACCTCCAGGATGAGAAAGGAGGAGGGTTGGGCACGGGGCTAGCAACTCCACCCCGTAAAAACCAAACCTGCTGCAAGTAACTGCAACAAAAACTACCGTTGGCGAGTTGTTGTCGCGGCCCTATGCTCCACTGGGAGTTTACAGGAATAATAATAAAAAAAAACTATCATAAACTAAGAAAACATAACATTATACATAGGAAATAATAATGCTATTCTTCTCGGGGCATTTGTGATACCCATGCCACTGTTGTTCATTCCGATAAAAAAATACGGATGATTTTACTTAAAGGTGTCATCTGATCTGCCAGTGAAACATACCAGTGTACTTACACATAGTATATTCAGTTTTACAGAGATATTTCCCAAGAAAAGACATACATGATACAATAGTTGAATGATCAAGTTCAATAGGTAACTGTGGCAAAAGAAATGTTAAAACTACATACACTGAATGTACGAATACTTTACGTTAAATAACGTGGTAAAAATACATAGTATGTCTGTATACTGCAACACTTAAACTAAATGTCTCTAATCATTATCTAGTGATCAAAGGGCATAAGACTTCGGCCATAGCCATCCCTAATCTTAAACTACTGACCAGAGGGAGGTGACACCAGCCAGCAGCTTCTGTTACTGTAAGAGCTTGGTCGTCTGTTTTTTAACCCAAATAGTAGGAATGATCGACAGTTTTACAATATACCTACAGCTAAAAGTATGAAGCATGCTCTGAGGCAAGATGGTTGTACCTTGTTTTTACAGTCTGTAGCACACTAACCACTAAGTCATGCCTAGCTGGCTGTGCTATTAAATTATAAAATAGCATATCAATAACCAACGTTAAATTCCTAATCTATGGTTGTGTATTACGTATGAAGGCGGTATTTCGGTCCTAAAACTTACTGTTTGTTTTGCTTTTGTTAAACACAAAGCTACACAATGGTTTATCTGTACTGTACCAACCACGAGTATCGAAACCCAGTTTTTAGCATTACAAGCCTTTAGACTTACCACAAAGATACTGGGGGAGGGGGGAGTACTCACTGGATACATTTTGGCACAATTCGCCTCAAACTGTATCCCAGTCACAGAATTGCTTCTCATTAAATTTGATAGAATCAAAAGTTATATCATCCAAATGAGATCAAGCATTGCATGCACCACTTATTCCCGAGTCCAGCCATTCCAAACAATGACCCGTTTTAAATGATTCAGATCCTCTTTAGTCACATATTCAAACATTAGAGGAGAGGTCTATTTAGTCTTGCTTATACGGACCTGTGGTTGTAACATAAACCTCTCATCCATGGATTCTTGGTCAATATCAGGCTGAGACACTCTAAACATCGGAGTATTGAGTAGTGGACATACTCAGGGACTCTTACATTCAGATGTGCATTATGTCCCTGCTCTTGAGCAGTATAATGGAGAGTTAACATAGGTAACTTGTTCATTGTCACTGCATGATAAAAGGCCTTTTCACGACCTATGGTAACCTCGACAGTATACCTCTTGTAATGGCTCACTATCATTACCAATCAATGTCTGCTGTTTCACTTGTCGATGAAACTGCTCAGAGTGGTAATGTTAACCACCAATGATGTCTAGAGTCTTCCTTGACTGATCTCAACCAGAGCTGAGGTAAGGCTACTTTGATCTATTAATTCCTAGGAGTTTTGTAGACTGTCCTATTCAGTTTCAGATTCACCAGACTGTATATCATCATGAAGGCCCTCAATGTTATGTGCCTCCTGTGCAGAGCAGTTGATCTTCAGGAGAGAACTCGTTCAGCAGTTCTGTGTGTGCTATGTTTCGACAGTGAAAACAATTTTTATTCAATATTCAAACACAAAATAACGAGTATGTAGACATAGGACATCGCCTTTACTGAAGCTTTCATAAGTCTCCGAATCTCTTTAGAAACGTATTCCAAACTGAGAAAATATAGCATTATGTATACAGTTCTATGATGCTACTCTTTGAAGGGGTGCACTACACATTTTACTGTTGGTCACTCCCATAAAAAAAAATAGTGTATACCCTTAAGATATTACTAACGTGCTACTAGAAAACATTTCTACTTGCCTTTATCTAATATGTTCTACTTTGTTCAAAAATTTTCCACGAGAAAGAGCACGTGTTACTGTAGGTGAATGACCCAGAACATTGGGTAACTAGTGCAAGAGGAGCTTCGCAATTTCCTTGACCAAAGTTCTACATTAAATCTATTTAGGAACTTGTATGCTTACATATTACACTTTATTTCTTGGAGGCATACATCATTTGTTGCCTTAACCCTATCTGGAACATCAGCACCTTTCAGGTATTGAGTGCTCATCTGTACATCAAATTTCTGGAGGATTCAATATTTCGAAAGTTTTTTTTTTCAGTTTTGGGATGCTGCATTCCTGCCAGAGGTATGAGCACATTTGGCACCATCAATGTTTACACACTGCATCCTCTAATATGACATTTCAGGAGTGGATCTCATTATTTTATTGGTGAAGAGGCTAACTTCATTTTCATGGGAGTCAAGAATGGTGGAGTTAGCTTCTGCTGGGCTGCCTGGTTGATGAAGTGGTTGTTGGCACTGCTCCCTCAGTCACAAGTATGTTCAGTGGGGGCTTGAGCTCTGCAAGACTTTCCATGGCCAATGAGGGCCATCTGGATCCGGGAGACGTTAGCACTTACCTGACAACAGATACAATGAGCTCTACCATGAGTATGACAACAGTCAACTCTGTCATCTGGTTATTAAATGGATGGAACCCAAGTCTAGTATGAAAAGATGTGGTTCAAGACTGCAAATGCTGGTTCTTACATACATGTTCTGACTCATGTTAGCCTATGTCTGGAGTTGCAAAGAGATCAAAGTCATAGATCTTCACACCATTGGCAAAAGTCCTGTATCCAGGAGAGAACTCCTCCTAGATTTGACATCTCTCCTATAAAACCATTTCTCTTCAGCAATCATTCCTCCTTCTCATTTTTGAGTAATTTTAATTGTAGAAAAATACCATTCCTTCAAAAAGAAGTATTTCTTTAAACTCTATAACATAAATGTTCAAGTCAAGGGGAGTAATATCTTATAATTAAAACTTGTCAGACAAATAGTGGAATTTGACTAGGAGTAAAATTTTGTTAGCACTTACTTGGTCTGCTTTTGACCAACCCACATACTTTTCATCATATTGTCACATAAAGTTTTATTGACCTTGTCAAATGAAGTATTTACTTGGCATACTCATTAAGTTTTATACAAAAGTTTAGATATAAAAACTATAACGAAATTCTGTGGTGGTCAGATTCAAAACTTCAACTTGCACGACAAAACACACCAGCTTGCACTGCTGGATCACATCGACTTACTTCCAAGGAAAGTGGGATCTTCCTATTTATGTTATTGGTGAAAGTTCTCAACTTTAGAGGCCAATTCCTCTGTGTAAACATCATATGGGAATTTTTTTTTATTTTGGATTCAGAACATACAATTGCTCCAGTGAAATATTATTCCAAACAACCCATTATATAGTGAACTTACTTGATTTACTTTTTCATGAAATTGATTTTAACTAAAGATATCCCAGAGTAGGTAAGAAGAATTAAATTTGGTGCTGCATGTGCATATGCAATATCACACAGACATATATCCATACACGTATATT